ATCTCAACAAAAATCTTTTTATCAACAACTATTAGACCTAATATTCAGACGAGTTCTAATTTTTCTACCTCTTCAGAAAGCAAAAATAAAGGTGATAAAATTAGTATAAGAGATTCTAAAATAACCAACAATTTATTTTTATAATTTGTTTTAGCCAAAAGAACTGAAAATAAAAGATCATATAAATGTAAAAATCTATTATTTATTCAGGATTATTTTGAAAAAGAAGTAAATAATAGTAAGGAATTTTGGGTTTGCAAAGTTGTAAATAAAAAAAGTAGCAAAAAATGTAGCAAAAAATACAAGAATATAGGAAGTTTAACAGGAAATCTCATTACATATCTTAGAAATAATCACAAGATTGTTTCGCAAAATGATATAGAAACTTTGAAAAAGGTATTAGTTAGAAAAATTAAAATATAAGGCTATACAAACTTAACAAATTGGTTTTTATAACCTGATATCAAATTCTGTATCTGGATAGAGTTTATATAAAATTTTTCATATTTTAAAAAGGTTATTTTAATTAAGTTATACTGGTCTTGCCAATATAAGTGCATACTGGTACCATATATATATGTATACCTTAATTTGAATTTACTAATTTAATTTGGATTTAATCTAATTCGAATTTAAATCAAATATATTACAATAAATTTGAATTTAAACCAAATAGCCTTTAAAAATTAGGATCGAAGCACTAGTTAATAATATTAATTTTTTTTAGTATATTTTATTACTATTTTATTAAGATATAAACTAAATACAAATTACAAGAATTTTTAACTACAGTTATTATCTATTTAATTACAACAAATAATTTACTTGACTTTAAAAATCTAGGTGTAATATTATCTAGTAGCAATTTGTCTTTTTTTGAACTCTAACTTTCTAGATATATAAATTTTTTGATTATTGGCCAGTACTATATGCTATATCAATATCATCTTTTCTTTTATAGAAATAAAATATATATATGAATTCAAAAGACAAAAAGAAAAAAAGTGAAGATAAAACAAAGATAGCACTATTAAACCTATACCAGATTATAAAAATTATATAATACTACTAAATAATCTAGTCAAGCTTTATATTAATTATTTATATCTATATTTAGAATATTAAAAAGAAAAAAAATAATCTGTTTTTGAGTAAAGATCCAAGTTTGAAATTTTTATTCTGTTCTATTTTATTTTTATTAAAATTTCTATAATACTACTCGAATATAGTTTTCTATATAGTTTTTTTTTTATTATACTTTGTATATTTAACTAAGTTAGAACTTCTGTTATAATCT